ATGTGCAAATGAAAATATGCACATTAAATAAACAAAATATTTTTATTACTATATTACATTGAGTGGGGAGCACAATGTCTGCATGTAGATGTAAAGTGGGTAGGAAAGTCCCAAGGGTTAAAAATCTGAGTACCACTGCTCTGCACCATAGACTTAAAATTGTTTATGGGCTTTCTTCTCCTTAAGGGATCCTGGGAATTGTAGATTTGTGAGGAAGGCTATATTTCTATGGTTGTTCTTTGTGGGGATCTATGAGAGACAAGTTGATAAAAAAAAATATTCCAAGTCTGTAGGTCTGCCCTGTGTGTATTAAATAAAGGCTCCAGTTTAAGAAGGATATGAGAGTGTCATGTTAATGTCCTGTGTAAAAGTGCCAAAATGGTACAATTCTTCACTGACCTTAGAATCCTCCCCACCAGTTGTTGTGTGCCTTTAAGAATACTGCAAATTATAACAACCCTATCATGGGGTTTTCTTTTTCAAGATTTATTCTGAGAAATTTGCCATTTCCACCTTCTTCTAAGGCTGATAGAGTGTGACATGCCCAAGGTCACCCAGTGGATTTCCATGGCCAAACTGGAGTTCAAACTTTAATATCCTGAAGTCCTAGTCAATCACTCAAATCATAGCACAATGTCTGGTCCAAGACATTTTTCTGCCTGAATCCAAAGATATGATCCTTCCTCACACCGGAAGAGGCTGCTTGGACTGGCAGCAGACTCTTACTTCAATACTGATGACGGAACAACATTGTACACCTCATCTGAAAGTAGGAAGCTAATTTAGGGCATGAAGAAAGTAAGTTGCCTGGCACATATTGCTTTGTCCTCCAACAGAGGGACACAGCTCTTCTGCATCATCTATGGCTGCACCTACACTGCAGAATTAATGCATGTTGACATTGCTTTAACTGCCACGGCTCAGTGCTATGAAATTCTGGGATTTGTAGTTTTGTGAGATACTTAGCCATCTCTGTCAGAGAGCTCTGGTGCCACAAACCCGAAAAACCCGAAAGTAAAAATGAGGGGTTTTATTAACCTCCCTGTTAACAGCGCTTTCACTTTTCACACAGGGCAGAACAGAAGAAATCCCGCTCATTAAAAGCTTCTGCTTTTGCATTTTTTTTTAATTTAAAGAGCGATTTTGCATGGGGCTTCCCATGTGATAAACTCCATAGAAACATGAGTATTTCAGTTTTATTTAGAGGTAAGTTTCTTGCCCTAGTGACTGAAAAGCAAAAATTGAAAATGCACTTGTTCCTCCATATTCGCTAGGATTAGGGGCACAGGACCCCCATGAATGTGGAAAAATGACAAATAACAAAAACATTATGTTTTTACTTCAGAGAAGATCTCTCTAGGAATCTCTAGGTCCTCCAGTGCAACTCTGTGGTCAACATCTGTCAGACATTGACCACAGAGTTGTGCTGGAGGACCTGGATATTCCTAGAGATAACATATTAATAAAAATCTGTGAATAAACAAATATGCAAAAATCAAAGCCGCAGATGTAGAGGGATGAATGTACAGTATTATTGGACTGAGAATCTTGGAGCATCTCTGAAAGGGTGACCAAGATCCTAGATCACGTGCTGACACTTATGTAATTAAAGAGGACTACCATAATTATCCGTGCAGAGGAACACAAGACAATAACAAAAAAGGAAGAATGAGAGATTTCTCCCACAAGATAAGAGAATTCAAAGGGAAGTTCAAACTAAAGGCTGGGATTCTGTATGATAAGAAGAGGAACATACTACAAGACTGAGAAGAAATAAAAAGACCTTGGTTGCAATACACAGAAGAGCTATGTAAAAGAGATTTAAAAATGAATGGCACATGGAAGCATATGAAGATGAACCCCAAATTCTAGAAAGTGAGGTGAAAGTTGCAGTAAGAGAAATTGGAAAGAATAAATCACCAGGAATAGACGATATTCCAATTGAACTGATACAGTCCTCAAAGACAGTACTTCTTCTAGCTTTTGTGTTTTTTCCGCATTAATAACTTTTGCCATCATGGCAACACTCTGATGTTGCTTGACCACATGTGTCCTGATTTTCATCTGTGAAATAATAAGAGTTATTATTTGGGTTATGCAACTCATTCTGAAAGAAAGAAGAGGAAGAGCAAGGGAGGAGAAAGAGGAGGGCAATGCTCCTCCTAGGCCTATTACATCTGAGAAATTCTACATGTATCTTTAATTTATAAATTGGTATTTAATTCTACTGAGAATGATCAAAATCGGCTGCCAGGAACGGCTGGGGAATGGCTTGGGGACTCCTGGTGGCATTGGTGGCATTCTCCTGTGCATTAGCATGCGTTCTTGTCCTGTTCTGTTCCCGTTCTTGTAAGTGCTGTGCGATAAGTTTATGTGTTTGGTCCAAGGGCCAATCTTATGCCTTGGCACCCTGCAGAATCTGCCCAGGCTGCCAAAAACTACCAAAACAAAACAATAGAATAATCCATCAATGGCCAGACATTCACTTCCAGTTTTGAAAGACTATTTAAAGCTATTAAAAAGGTGAATTGCTGTACCAGAAAGCTGCCAGGAGAGACAATTCATCCCTTCCTTCCCTTTATTTTTGTAGGAAAAGGGCAATTGTGGCATCTGGAGGAGTTGAGGGCTGCAAAAACAGCTTAATGGGACCCCAAAATTTGCCTGCCACTGAGTTATCCTGTCATAAAGCTGATGTTCTGGATTCATTCCAGTCTATTTTATTTTCAGATCTCATTGCCAGGGAACAGGGGCAAAAAGTACCTTTGTTAATCAGGTAAGCACTAGAAGTGGGAGTCTATTTGTTTGCTTTTTAAAAAATTGCATAGATTTGATAGTCCAAGGTCAAGCAGCCCATGTCAATTAAAATATAATTGAAAATTGTATGAAATAATAAAAGATCAGCATCCCCAAAACAGCTTCAGAATGGGGGAAAATGTTTTCTGACTCAAGTACTGAATAACTCAACTGGCCTTGGGTACTATATACCTTGAATTGTATGTGCCATGGTATTTCTTACTCCCACTCAGAGAGCAAAATGTTTCAAGCCTGCTCCACAACAACCTCCCCATCCCATTTCCAGTGCTTCCTAGAGGAAATGTCTTCCTTCTGTTGCAAGGCAAGGACAGCTCTGATCTGGGCAGATTGAACCTATGGCCTTGAGAAACATCTGCTCTGATACATCATTGATGGGAGGATATCATGATTAGACTAGGATTTTTTAAGGACCATCTTTCAAGGAGAGGCAGTCAGTGGTGTAATAGCAACTTTTTGTCTAGCAAGACAATGGACGTTTTCACACGGACGGCTCTAAAGCCGCCTGGAAGCTGCCTGGAAGCAAAGAAGAGCCATTCCGGCGGTGAAAACAGCAGCCGCCAGAATGGCTCCTGATTGCTTCCGGCAGCAGCCCCTCTAATTCCTTTTTAAAAAAGGAATTAGAAAGACGGGGCTAAAGCCGGCCAGCGCCGGGGATGGCGCAGGGATGGCGCTGGATGGGGCAGGGCTTGCTGCGATGTCGTATGAACACGCGCAGCAAGACCCCGGACGGACGCCGGATAGCGCCAGGGATGGCGCTGGATGGGGCAGTGCTTGATGCGACGTCGTGTGAAAAGTTTGACAATGGAGCTGGAGTGGGGCCGGACGGAGGTAGGATTGCCTCCATCTAAAGCCCCGTGTGAAAATGTCCAATGATGTTCTCTCCCAACTGCATGTGTGTGTGTGTCACCTGTTCAAGTTGCCAGTTGACATTTAGAGATCCCATGAACTTCATAGGCTTTTCTTAGGTAAGGGATACTCAAGAGGTGGTTTTGCTAGCTCCCTCCACTGAAATATAGCCTACAACACCTAGTATTCCTTGGCAGTCACCCATCCAAGTACTATCCAGGTCTGAGCTTGCTTAGCTTCCAAGATCAGACAGGATCAAGTGATGCATTCAACCTTCTTGCCTGCTCTGATTTTATCTAGAATCTATACCATAGTTGGGGCAGGATGAGATTCCCTAGAATCAATGCATTATTAATAGGGTTCCCAGATCTCAGTGCCTAGCCCATCTTTTCTATTCTTCAAGGAAAGTAGAAGGAATCTCAAAGGGAGAACACTGCCTTGAAAACTATGTATATATGTTCTCCTCATTGTTAGATGTGGTGTTTTTTATTTGAATGTAACTGAGGAAGATGATAAATGCATCATGTCCCCTCCCTGTGATACCAAAAGAGGTAATCTCAGGTCCTTGGTGAGTCCTGACCTGGGAACATTGATTGCTAACCCAAAGTAATGCAAAGTATATGGGGGTGGCTTGATTTTAAAGGAACAATTTTACAAAAAGCCTGCTCCTGGTGAGATGAAAACTGTCAGTTGATATGGAATGATACAATTGCTTGCATTTTGGACTTTTCCTAGGGGCATGACTATGAGGACTGATGTGATGGGTACCTTGTTGCTGTTGCGTGCCTTCACATTTCTGATTTATAGGGACTCTAAGGTGAACCTACCATGTGTTTTTTCTTGGCAAGATTTGTTCATAGGGAGTTTGCCTTTGCCTTCATTTGAGGCTGAGAGAGTGTGACTTGCCCAAAGTCACCAATTAGGTTTCCACAGCTGAGCAGGGATTTGAACCTGGTCTCCAGAGTTGCAGTCCAATGTTCAAACCCCTACACCACACTGGATCTTGATGGGCATTTGCACTTCACAATTTATACAA